TGCCATAGTGATTCCCTCCTCTAGCTTTTCACTTAGATGCCACGCATGCCCTTCTATTCTTGCATACAGCACTGTGGTAGGACTGTAATAGGGAGCCAAACAAACCTTACTATTCTAAGAACAAAGGTCAACTTGCTTCATTTTGCTAGGTAAAAACAACAAACCCTTCGCAAATGCTGAAAGATAGGGCATAATGTAGGGGGCCAACCAAAGCTCAATTTGGATGTAAACAAGGCAAATCATGTTTATTTGGTTTCAAGAACCCATTTAATATAGAAAAAGGGGGGGGCGTTTTTTTTTAAAAAATGGCCAACTTACAGTGATGCAACTACTTACTTTTCATGGAGACCCAACGAGAAGCCAGCAAGAATAACATAGGTACCAAACACCATGAATGGAATGTGTCTGGAGCATTTATATCATAAATTGGTGGCTTATAGGAAAGCCTTCCCCCCACATGCTCTGTTATCCTTGTCAAATGGCCCTAAAGGATTGGAGAATAAGAAAATGGTAACAGCTGTCGAAGAAATAATTGACCAACTAGAGGGTAAGAAAATAGTGGAATTAGTAGTTACCCTGTGCAGAAATGGAAGGAGAACAACCTTCAATTTGTTCCTTACGTAATGGTCATTAACTTGAAAATAGTATTGGGGATCAGAGAAGTACCTAGTTATCTGTCCATTAAAGAAAATATTGAATTTGTGAATAAACAAACCTCAAAATTAAATATCAAAATTATTAATGATCACAGAACACAAAAAAACTGGTACCTAGAATGTTAAAATCATTATGACAGTGCTTTTATCTAATTATAGAACAACCAGTAGATGTGCATATGTCGCACTATGCAATACCCTTTAAGAACATGTTGCTGAACTCATTCTAAAAATAAGCTTTTCTATTCTACTATAAATAACACATTTGCCGGTGGAGGGGTGAAGGACTTCATTTCTTTGAAAATACTAACCATGGGAAATAAAATGTCCAGTAGAAGTTCAATTTCTTCCTAGATTTTACATTAGATAGGACTTGAGTTAATTGTGTTTTCCTCAGCATTCATATACAAATGTCATCCTTCAGAACAAATAAAATTGGTAAAATGAAGGCATTTTCGAATACATTTGAATGCACCTGTTGAAGCATAATTTGTTCTCAGAAATAAGTTAACAAAATGGCTACAGAAACGGCAATGCTATGTGCTACTTTTAGAAAAAGGAATGGATTTTAAGAGCAAAAAATGGAAATCGCACGTAAAAATATTAAGCTCTTATGTAAATATAAGATGAAAATCACATAAAAAAAACACTCAAATTTGACGGAAAACCTCATTATGTTTTTCTTCGGTTGTGTGTTACACGTGTGGAAAAAAATGGATAAATTCAATTCCACAACAAATCTACCTTCCCTAAAATTGAAGTGGCAACCAAGCAGAAGCTCAAATGCCCATCACCCAAAGACATTTGCTGAAGAAGGTCATCGCCTTATTTGACAAAATGGATTTCAGGCCATAGGGCTTCCCCTAAAAACCCTTCCCTAGACGCGTCAAAAAGCGACATAGATCCATAAACTTTTGAAACCAAATATATCAATTAAGGGGTCCTAAAAAATGCAGGAAATAGCCCCTGAATAATACCTTCCAATCCATCACATAACTAGAGATTGTTATTAATTCAACATCATCATCCTTTCTTTCACAACCTAACTATAATAGGAGTTCAAAATTCAGTCTTATCATACAACTTACATTGCTTTGCACATACTCGGAGCTTGATCCTAAATTTTTCTCTCCATAAGCACCTAGTCCACCTCTTATGAGTCCTGAACCAGCTCCAACAAATGCATTCCCAAATGGATTTCGCTGTGGGTTCGGAGGTGGTCCTGACAACCCAGGCTGAGCTCCCAAATTATTATACATTTCTGCAACATGACATACCATCAGGCCATTTTCACTAGAAGAAAATAGTATATCCCGAACAAATATTCATACACAAATATTCCATCGATTTGATTCAGCGTACATGTTAACCAGAAGGGTGTAAACCCACTATTGTATCTGCTTCACAAACACAATGTCTTCAAATGACATTTTCATTGTTCAAAACAAACCACTACATAAACCCAACCTCAGGTTGATAGCCAGCTAGCTTCAGATGCCCGTCTAGTTCACCTAGCACCACATATATTTTGGCCAAATACGGGTGAGATTTATCAGAAGCTGCAAACAGATGAATCTTGCTATCCATTTCAATCCAACTGGATCCAGGAGATGTTTTTTCTACACCTTGTACCTTCATGGTTGATCTAATCTTAGCAACCTCATTCCATCGACTTGATTCAGCGTACATGTTAACCATAAGGGTGTAATACCCACTATTGTTTGGCTCCAAAACCATCAACTTATTGACAGCAACTTGAGCAATCTCCAAGTTCTTGTAAAGCTTACACCCACTTAGTAAAGCACCCCAAATAACAGAGTTTGGCACAATTCGCATGCTCTGTATCAATTCCAATGCATCTTTGATCAAACCAGCCTTACACAATAGATCAACCATGCACCCGTAGTGTTGAATTTCAGGAGAAACGGAAAAATCATGTGTCATGTTTAGGAACCTCCTACGGCCCTCTTCAACTAGTCCTGCATGAGTACAAGCACTAAGAACACTAATAAAAGTAACACCATTCGGCTTTATTTTCTCCCTCTCCATCCTACTAAACATTGCCAATGCTTCTTCTGCATAACCATGTACAGCAAGCCCTTCAATTATTGAATTCCAACAGAAAAGATTTTTTTCCCGCAACTTGAAGAACACCAAAAGGGATCTATCCAAGCTCCCACACTTTGCATACATATCGACTAACGCAGACCCAAGGTAAACATCGAGATCAAACTCATTTTGCATTACATAAAGATGAATTTCCTTTCCCAAGTCCAGAGCACCAATATGGGCACAAGCCGAGATAACAGTAGCCATGGTCACTTCATCAGGGCTGATCCCATGGCTCTTCATCTCATTAAAAATGGCCAATGCTTCAATATACTGCTTACTCTGCGAATAACAATTGATCATCATTGTCCAAGAAATTAAATCCCTTTTGGGCATCTCATTGAACAATAACTTCGCAGATTCTACATCCCTCACTCTCACATACCCATCAATCATTGTATTCCACGAAGCGCAGTTCCTTTCAGGCATTTCATCAAATAACCATCGAGCAGAACCCAAATCCCCAACTCGAGCATGAGCCGAAACCATCGTAGTCCATGCAAAAACATCTCTTTCAGGCATTTCATCGAACACCCGTCTCGCTTCAACCATTTTACACAGATTTGAATAAAAATCAACCAAAGCAGTTTGAACAAACAAATGTGAAGCAAAACCATTTTTCAAAATCTGCCCATGAATAGATTCTCCAAATTGAAAAGCTGATATTAATGCACAACCTTTAACTATCGACGAAAATGTATAACTAGTGGGGCAAATGTGGGCTCTCAACATCTCCAAGTAAAGTTGTAGAGCTTGAATCGGAGAAGAACAGTGAACAAAGCCTCTTATCATTGCATTATACACAAACACATTGGGTTTTTTCATCTGGGTAATGGCAAGAAGTGCATAATCGATTCGACAAAAGGTCGAACAAGCGGTGACGAATTGGTTCATGAAGAAACAGTCGTCGTTTGCGTTGGTCTTGAACATGAAGGCATACGCTGATTCGATGTGTTTGAAGCTTGAACATGTCTTCAATTGCTTAATCACAGTCTGGAGTTTTGGGTTCGAAGAATGGTCAAGGTTGGTTGTAATCTTGAACATGGTTATTTCGGAACGCCGACTCAAGCAACGCCGTCTCAAGCAGCATATTTTAAAGGGCAAATTACATATACACCCCTCGAGGTTTGGTTAAATTACAGATATCCCTGAGGTTTCGGAAATTACATCCCGCCCCCTGAGGTTTGTATTTTCATAACAATTTACCCCCTGAGGTTTATATTTCATAACAAATTACCCCCTAATTTCTTATGCAAATATAGCATTCAGGGGGGAATTCGTAATTTCTCAAACCTCAGGGGTATTTGTAATTTAGCCAAACCTCGAGGGGTGTATATGTAATTTGCCCTATTTTAAAAATTATTTCTGCATTCAAAAATAAAATTATATGAAAACTCAACATTTTCCTTATATTTAAAAATTTATATAATAAATTTTACAGCTTTAACATAATTAGATTTAACATAATTAGATTGAGTTTTCTTGATTTTAATTTATATAACACTTAACTTTAGGGCTAGCTTTGACATTTTGAGGGCTCAAAGCGAACTCTTAATAGAGGACTCCTCATACATTAATTAAAAAAAAAAAAATTTGTGATAAAAAGACTATGGCCCTGTTTGGTAGAGCTGTGGGAAAGTGCTTATAGCTTATGCCTAAACAGCTTATAGCTTATAACTTTCAGCTTAAGCTGATTTCCAGCTTATTCTTAAAGCATCTCCTGCCCCACTTAAAGAATAAGCTGTTTTCTGACTTCCACAAAGCTATAAGCTATAAGCTATAAGCTAAACCAAACACATCAAAATAGCTTAAATTAAGCTGAAAGCTGAAATAAGCTGAAATTAAGCTGTACCAAACAGGGCCTATGTATTGAAATTTTGATCATACATATAATTATTAAAATTTATTTAAATATATAAAAAAAGTTTACCATAAAATAAAATAATACTAAAATAATTCAAGTTGAAGTACTAAATAAAAAGTGAGCAAACTGTATATTTAAATATCACTCTTTTTGTATTTATAATTACAAAATTACTAATCAAACTTGCATAATTCAACTTATTAACTAATCATTTTTAATTCATTAAAGGGAAATTTACTTGAAAATCCCACTTCAAAATTTGTATACGTACTATGAAGTTCCTTTTTTTTAATAAATCGGTAAGTTTTGATCAATTGAATACATTTTCTATGAGATCCAATCTAGTATATTATTGTGTCATGTTAAGACCCTTTTGCCCTTATTGATTGTTAGGCTTTTTTTTTTTTTTTTTTGAATGTGACTTTTGAAATGTGGCATAAGAGTTGATTTCTATAATGTGCATGCTATATTTTGAGTGGATTGAATGTGGAATGTGGTTTGTCCAAATTAACAATGTCACTACGAAAAATTTTTTAGTGTATTTTTTTGAAATGTGACATAAACAACTAAAATTAAAGAGGAAATATTCAAATTTAGATGAATTGAATATGAAATGAGATTTGTCCAAACCAGCAACATGACTACAATATTCCTTTAGTTTACTTTTTTGAAATGTGACATACTAACATTAAGGAGAGAATTTTCAAATTAACCATATCATAAAAACAGTAAAAAATATGTCAATTTACATAAACAAAGACTTATGTATTCATTAAAGTAATTGTGGGACTAGTTGGTCTATAAGTTCTGATTTTAGAATTTATGGGTCAATGCCTCTTGATTAAATTGCTAATACATTAAATCTTTTTTTGGGACATAGCTAGCCTAAGGTAAAATTCAATCAATTTTAAATTTAAAAAGATTCTTTCCCAAAAATAAATGTAACTAATATAATTAATCGTGTTTTATGAAACAGAATTGAGTTTCTTATAATAAATTAAGAAGGTTTTTATCAATTGACAAATGATATATTATTGAACAAATCTTTATCAAATTCCGTATTCATACCGTATTTCCCCCTCCTTGAAGGGCACTACTTGCGAAGTAAATTTAGCCATGGAGAGTGACTTTACTCTGTGAGTGAACTCCCAACTGAAATTAGTTTTGAATCAATAATTCAGCATTTGACTGACCAGTGAGCAGTAATCATAATAGTGTACACCATACTAGACCAAGCAATAACCAAAAATTAGCAAAAGCAATACACAATCCCCAAACAAGCAACAACCAAGCAGGAAATTGCACACAAGTATACACAAAATGTACCTAAATGCCTTAATTTATCGATGACCAAAGTTGCACAAGCATTAAAAAGTTTTGGAACGAGATTTTTGGAAATAAAGTATCTGCATTAATTTATATTCTATAAGAACGTAACAAACATGTCTATCACTTATGTACATAAATGCCTTAATTTATCAATGACGAAAGTTGCACAAGCATTAAAAAGTTTTGGAACAAGATTTTTGGAAATGAAGTATCTGCATTAATTTATATTCTATAAGAACATAACAAACATGTCCATCGCTTAGATACACATGAAACGCATTACAAAATTGAAGGAAATTACTTAAGATCCAATGATAAAAGAAAAAAATGTACATTTATAACTAATAATCCCTCCTCTGGATTTTAGGAATTAGTCTTATATTGCATTTTTGTTTTTTAATTTATTTGAATGAAATTTCATATGACCTATAAAAAGAATATAAAAATACATATTTTGCATGTATTCCTCACGTGTCGTGTCTTGTATTTTTTAAAAATTGTCATGTCAATAGGCCTGTGTTTGTTTTTGTCTATTTATGTGGATGTGGATGTAGATGTACTTCTTAGGAGGAGGCATGTCATATTTATGTCTCTTCAAGAAACTACATAGTGCTATTTGCACAAAAAAGATCAATTAACGATAGTTTTACATGGACTCTTCACTCTTCTATTTCTCTAACAGCATCCATATCTACTGACTATGACAGGGGTAAGCATGTGAGATATATGTCCAACAACCATACCCAATTTAGACACTTTGATCCTTTGCTTATATGATGTTTAAAGAAAAAGAAGCTCACATTAGCAAGTAAACTGTGAAGCACGGGCACTTCAAAAATAGGTGTCATAGTCACGTCGGACTTGGGGACATGTACGGGACACGCGACGTGGCATGTCCCTTTAATTTTATCATGTTTTTGCATGGAACACGGCGGGTTTTCTTTTTAAATTTTTGTAAATGTCTTTTGGGGTCAAAGTGTAAAATTAAGAAAATAAAAAAAGACAAGCATAATTCCAACCTCTGCTTTTGCCCTAAATTAGAAGAACAAAAAGAAAAAGAAGAAAAGAAAAAGCTCCAATTGTCTCTCTCTCGCTTGTCAAAGAACATAGTCTCTTTCTCTTTCCTCTCTCTCTCTCACCTCTGTCTTCTCTCTCTCGCCTCTTTTCTGAAACTCTCTTTTCTTTTTCTTTTTCTTTTTCTTTTTTAAATTTGTTTTTTGATTATACATATACTACACGTTTCTCTCTCTATTTTTGTATTTGTGATGAATATTTTCTTTTCCAATTAGTGGTTTATATATATATATATATATATAGAATTAATGTTAGTTTTTATTAATTTTGATTGTTTGGTAACATAATATTAATATACATGACAAATATATATAAAAATAGAAATAAAAATTTGTTGTGTCCCCCACTGTGTCCGTGTCTATGTCTCCATTTTTTTGAAATCACTGTGTACTATGACCGTGTCCGTATCCCTATTCGTGTTCGTGTTTGTACTTCATAGCTAGTAAATAAATATTTATTGCTTCTCACATAGATGGGGGATCGAAATTTGATAGTTTCTCTAAATCCTATTTATTTGAGTACAATTCTAAATATTTACATTATGTAATCTAAAAATATTATATAATATGCAATATTATATATATATATATATATGTGTGTGTGTGTGTGTGTGTAGAGGGGGAGGGGGTGTTGATTTCTGACCACACAACCAAACGGAACTCAGGCACCAGCAGAATAGATTAAGTCCGAACAACCTATCACAGAAAGATAAGAATCCGGCAGTGGTTCGTCCACCCGGGGACACTCCGACGCTCAAGTCAATAATCAAATATCTCTCAAAAATAGCAAATTGTGCTTAACTCACAAGAAAACACTTACTGCTCACAATATATCACTCATACTTGAGACCTATGGGGGTACCTTGCTTTTATAGCTAGCACTGACCTGATCCTTGTAGAAGCCTCACTTCAGTGGACTAAGGCTCAATGCTCATTTTGGATTCTTAGCTAGATAGGAATAAACTCCATAAGAGCTTTATATTTATTCAGACTGAGATCCTCTCCTGTTTTAGGACACTTGTCCCTTATCCGCTTATCTCAGATTCCGACATCTCCGCAGACAACCTCGACCTAGCCGAGATCACCTTGGTATCATGTTCAGGCCACACGGCACCTCGGCTGACACTTCGGCGTCACCTTGGCCATGTGCTGTCATTCACAAAATATGTCCGCACAACTACCCCCTACGTTCTATTACCTAGGCAACTTGAGGTGATGAAACCTAAATCGCCTATTCATATATTATGTTGGCTAAAATTCATTCATTCCTTCGACCGAGATCATGACTCGTCGGTTTCAAGTACCCAAGACTCAACTGTCTATCTTTATCAATGATCAAAAACCAAGAGTCAAGTTCTTTTAATATCTTAATCGAGATCGCTCCTATAGCTGAGGTTTTTTGCTTCATTAGTCAAGAACTCCAAGAGTTTTGACTGCGTATGAGCTGTCATGCACGGTTTTCTCAATCGTTTCCTGCACACGTCCCTTTCTCATTGGTTTGTACCTGACACGCGCTATAAGGTTACGTCGTTTCTGCACACGTTGCCTGACAAGCACATCGTCCAAGGCAAATTCATTACATTTTGTCGTCTTTTCGTGTTCTTGACAAAACTCCTTTTTCTCTCTCTTTCTTTGCCTCTTCACTTCTCACTCTTGAAAAACTCAATTTCCCTCTTCGTGTTTAAATTTTCTCTCTCTAACATTTTTCTTCCCAAACCTCTATTGACGTTCCTTCGAGCTCTGCAACTGTCGTATTTCACCACCTCCGGTGCACTTTTCATCGTCAGCTTTCGATTATTCTTGTCATCTAACTTTGGCGATCTTCATATCGGCATT